ACCCCCGCGCCAGCCCCCGCCGTCCTCTGCCCCGGGCGCCGTCAGGACCGCCACGCAGACCTCGGCCCTCAGCGCTCCGGGTCCGCCTTCAGTGTCTCCGAGACTAACCGGGGACCCAGGCGCCCGGGGCGGGGGACGCTCAGGGAGCCGCACGGCGGGCGCACCGGCAGGGCCGGGGTTCCTGGAGCACGCGGGCGGGTCAGCGCGCAGGGAGAGAGGCTGTCCGCGCACACGCGCAGCGCCGGGACAGCTGTTCTCAGTCTGACCGATCGCTGAGAAACCGGCCGCCGCTCCTCCATCCCCCACGGCCACACACGGGGCCGCGGGGGCGGGCGGGGACGGTGCCAGGGCTGCCTCCCCCGCCAGCCGTGCGCCAGTGACAGAGCCCGGTCAGTCCCCATGATCAGCACGGTGAAACATCTGGGGCCAAACTAACGTGGTTGAAAACACCTGTGCTTTTGAGATTCTGACTTATAAACAGGAACATACAAGCAGTCATGTCTGTAACTAAATGCATTGTTTTTTCCAGCCTCTTTCCATATTGGCCTTCACAAGTAATTATTTTAAGAGCAAATGACATACAAAATCAAATCAATCAGAGCCACAGGCACGGATTACAAGAATCAACTGTGAAAGACCCACCCCTCCCTACAAGAATCAACTGTGAAAGACCCACCCCTCCCGGGTGCCAGGGGCACGCCTCCCGCGGCCCCGCCCACTTCCGCGTCCTGAGCTGGGGTCTGAAGTGCCACTCAGAGTCAGGTTTACATTTAAATGAGGATAAAGAGGGAGAAATGCTTCTGTTTTTTTAATATGGAGAAAATATATGGTAAAGCTAAAATATAATTCTCTGCTTAACTTGTGCAATTCAAGGATGGCATAATGGTTCTTAATTCTTTTAAGTCAAAGTGAACACTCTTGAAAGGAGTATGAGAGTCCCTGTTTGAAAAATACTGGCTTTGCCGAAAAACACACCACGCCTGGCAGAAGAAACCTAAGCCAGCCCAATGAAGGCGGAATGGTTTCATGAATTACGCTATGTTCCCGGAGTAGAACACTTTGAGCGGGAGGTAGGGACGATCTCACAAGGCGGTCCTAACGGCACTGGGAAAGGCTCCGTCACCAGAGTGCTGGTGACGCACATGTGCTCTGGGCAGGGTGAACACGCGCCCGGGGACAAGGCTCAGAGGGAAGGCGGTGCGGCTGCTCCCCGGGAGGGGGCCGCGGGGCCGCCTATCTTGGCACCTGCCCGACGCGGCCGCGCACAGGCAGGAGCCGCAGGCCAGGGCAGAGGGCAGGTTGGAAAACACAGCACAGGCCAAGGGTGGGATGAGCCCTCCTTCCTCCCAGCCCAGGCCCGGATGCTGGGGCCCACGTGCTCAGCAGAGCCTGGAGGAAGGAGCTGGGGCCGATTCTGCTTTCCGACCAGCAGCCCAAAGACGCTCGGTGGGCTCAGAGGCTGGGGCTTGGGCAGGAGACACGGGAAGGGCTCACCATGCAGACACACCTGAACGGCGGACCCAGCCTGAGCCCGGGCAGATGCAGTCCACCAAGCCGACCAGTGATCGCTCCCATGGGAAGGGCAGGTGCGGGGTGGAGGGCCAGCAGCTGGCAGAGGGGCCCTAATGAGGGGTGGCCACCTGGAGCAGGGACAAAGGCGGTGCTGTCCTCCCAGCAGTGGGCGGGTCTCTCAGGCCCTCCCTCTGCCCGCCCCCCCTTCTCACGTTCCCACCTTGGTCCTGGGTCCTCAGAAAGTGTTCCTGCTGGAAGTGTTTGAAAGCCGTGTGGTCTGTGCATGTGACAAACCCAGGGGCCTTCGGCAGGGATGCGATCCCACTCGGGCGCAGACTGAGTTCCGGGGTGCAAAGCATGGTACACGAGGGGCTCCTGTCCCCGGGCTTCAAGGGGCAGGCCCCCCCGGGTGGGGGGACAGGGGAGGAACAAGAAGCCACACCCCTGGCTCAGAGCTTCCAAGGCTGTAGGACCTGTGTAAACCCCTCCTCATTTGAAAAAGTAACAAGCGGCAGCGTGCTTGGGAGGGTGCGGACATGCGGGCTCCCCTCGCCCAGCAGCAGCGGGCGGCAGGCACCAGCGGTGCACTGATGGAGCGTCACGTGGGGCGGCCACGCCAGACAACGGTCGGGCCGTCCTCCAAACCACTAACCTGAGCGTTACCTCACTGACTCACGGGCGCCCGGGGCTGGGGGAGGGCAGGCGCGCAGTGCAGGTGTGCTGCCAGCCGCGCTGCGGGGGTGCCCCAGGACTGCCGGGCGGTGGGCGCAAAGCGGGTGAGCTTCACGGCACGTGCGTTACGCCTGAACACCGCCGGGCTCTCAGCAGCAGCGGTCTCTGGTGGAGCTCGGGGGCGCTGGACAGGCAGCGAGGACAAGGACGGCAGGACACTGACGGCCCTAACGCGGGATGGGCTTCGGCCGCCCTGTGAACTTCAAGCGCAAATGGGCCACGATGCTACGTCCTCTCAAGTTGTGAGCGCAGGTGAAGCAGGTGAAGAGGTCAAAAGGGACAAACTCCAGTTATAAAATGCCTAAGTCACAGGGAAGCACCGCACAGATGGTGACCAGAGTTAATGACACTGCACTGCAGGTTTGAAAGCTGCTAAAAGTAGCTCTTAAAAGTTCTCATCACAAGAAAAAATTTTTTTACTATCGATGGTAACAGATGTTAACTAGACTTATTGTGAAGATCATTCTGCAATACACACATATCTCAAATCGTCCTGGTGTGCGTCTGCTGCTAACAGAGCACTGCACGCCAGCCGCACCGCCACACGAAGGTGAGGCGGCGGGGCCCGGGCACCGTGCCGCCCCCTTCTGGGCAGGAGCCCACGGCCGCCCCCCAGGGGTGCCTTGGCCCGTCACAGCGGCCTCGCCGCCGCCGCCTCCTGCTGTCAGACAGGCCGCAGCAGCCCGCGCACTGCCAGCGCTCTGGGCAAGTCCCAGTCCGCATGTCCGTGGAGCTGGGCACTGCTAGCCCCTCCGTCCTTGAAGCTGTCCCCGCACTTGATTTCTGTGACCCCCTTTTCTTGCCTCTAAAACCCATTTCCTTCCCCCGACCCTGCACCATTCCCCTCGGGCAGGCGGGCCCCCGCCCCGTGTCTTCTGCTCCAGGAGGAGAAGGCTGGACATCTGGCTCTTCGAGGCCCCCTTGCAGCTTGCGGGGGCTGGGGGGGGGGGTGTCCCTGAGGGCCCGTCAGGAAGATGTATGAGAGGCACCCTCAGCAGACATGCCCTTCGACCTCTGGCCGTGCCCTTCATGCCTCTCTCTGCCCAGAACGCGGCCCAAAGGAGGGGCACAGCCAGCAGCCCACAGGCAGGAAGGCCAAGGCCGAGACAGGACAATGCAGCCACCGTGGTGTTGGGAGGAACATCTCCCGACGCTCCGCACGTCCGCTCGCCCAGTCCGGCAGCAGCCAGGCAGCGGGTGCCGCTGTGCCCATTCCAGGCCCACGCAGGCCGGATGCAGCTGCGGGGGCAGAGCCTGGTCTGCGCCCAGGGTGCCTGGGGACGTGCCTCAGCAGTGGCAGCGGCCTGGCTACCAACACATCCGGGCTTCTCCCCCGAGAGAGCCTTCCCCCGCGGGCGGGGCAGCCACCGTTGGGGCCTGAGCCAGCAGCCGTGGCACCTCAGGGGCCCCGGGACACGGGCTCCGCAGGACGGGGTGCCGGCCCTCGCCCTCCCTGGACGAGCCTGTCCAGCACCACCCCCCGTCTGAGCTCCAGATCCCTGTCGAGTTCCGCGTCCTCTGCTGGTCTCCCTCCTCAACAGCCACTAGCCCGTCCCCGGCCCCGCCCCGCCGGCCGCCGACCCAGGCGCACGCGTCCAGGATCGCCCGGGTCATGCACGCAAGATGGAGGTGAAGCAGCGAGCAGACGCATTTACCACATTAATTAAATGGCCTACTTAACGCGGACCATCAGTTCTCTAATCACATGTCAGAGAAACTTCCTTCCATTAATTCTCAAGTCCGCTGACAGAGGTCCTGCCACTCTGGGGTCGCCAGAGCGTCTCCGTCAGCCGTCGGAGGGGGCAGGCGGCGGTGGCCACAGGCTCACCGAGTCACTCAGCAAGGAAAAGGCCACCTGTGCCGTCGCGAGGGGCAGCCAGGCGTGGCGGGAGCGCAGAAGACGCCCTGGCTGGCGCGGTCTCCCCCTCCCAGGAGGCCCTGCCCTCGGGGAGGCCCCGCCTCTCCAGCCTGCGAGGCGGGGACCAGGCCCACGGGAGGCTGGGCCAGCTGCCAAGGCCCCACAACGGCAGACAGCACGAGGGCAGGGCCACAGGAGACTGGCTCGCACCAGTGGCAAGTGACGACGCTGCAGCTAGCGAGGGAAGCCCTGCCTGGTGACTCACGTTCATTCGCAGGTGGAGAGAAAAGTGGGTCCCTCACATGTAAGACCAGAATTTTTTTAAAAGAGGAAACATGGCCGAAGCAAGCAAAGCCACATGTCGGCCAGCAGGCGCAACACAGGCAGAAGGAAGCGCCTGCAGGAGCGAACAGCAGCGGCACAACCCACCCCGATCCTCCCCGAGACCAAGCGCTCCACGGGTGGTGAACGTTCCCTGAAACGAAACATCACAGCACGCCCTGGGCAGAGAGGTGGTGACGGTGGCAGAGATGCAGCGAAGACGCTTCCAGCCTCACCCTGTAAGCAGAACATTCCACCGGCATTCTACCACCCTGACCGCGGCGCCCAGACCCAACCCCCAGGGCCGGCGCCCCGAGCGCGGCACGTGTCTCCTCGCGCGTTGCTGATGACGCAGTGCTGACAGCAATCCCTGCACCTCAACGACCTCCGTCTTTCGGCCCGTGGCTTCAAAAACGTTCACAGCCGGCGTCAATGAGAATGCCGTGGTCCCCATGACTGGCTCTCGGTAATGACGGTAAACTTCCTGGCAACCTTCCACACTGGGCTGGGGGCACACGGCGAGCCCCCAAGGGCCATGTTCCACGTCTGTGAGGAGGGTGCCCCGATGTAACCTTACCCGTGTGTTCGCAGATGAAGACCACGAAGAAAGGGGTGACCAGGTCGTTGATGCCCTGAACGTATCCACTGGCAGGGTGGCGTATGGCCCATATAAACAATATCCGTTCAAAAATCTGCAAGGAAAGGAACACGTGCTGAAGTAAAAAGCAGGCATGTCAGAAACTTTCAAACTCATTCCTTTACGTAAAACAGACACCATCAACTCTCCCCTGCTGCCAGAACTAAAACATAACAGTGCCCATCACTGTTCGGGCTTCATCATACAAGGCTAACGAGTTTGCTTTTCACTGACAAGCAAGCCCTGCACAGCGCCTCATGGCCACTGGGCTTGGCCCCGGCCCCAGCCCCGGCCCCGGCCCCCGGCCTCCGGGCGGCACTGCGTGTGGCTGTCCGGGCCCTGGCCAGGAGCACAGCAGCCCGAGCCCGTCCAGGACAGTTCCTGAGGAGCACAGGATGGGGAGGGGCCAGCAGAGGATGGGTGGAGGGTGGGTGTCTAGGGGAGAAGGGCAGTGCTCACAGGCTGGACATCTCCATCCCCAAGAAGCCAGCCTGGCACAGCCAACCGTAACTGTGCGGAGGAGGTCGGCGCCTGCCTGCGCCGCCTGCAGCCCTGAGCGTCACTGAGCACACGGAAATTCCAGCTTCCCTGACCACCGCCGAGCCAGCGTTCGCCGCGAGGGCCCGGGGCACAGAACCACGCAGGGGCACACCGGCCAGCTGCTGCCATGGACAGTGCCCTCTGGTTGTTCCAAAGTAGAAACCAACCGGCGGTGCCACAGCACAGCCTCTGCGACCGCGGGCACCCAGTACGCACCTGCTGACCGAGGAGCGCGTTCACGCGCCCCAGCTTCACGCGCGCTTCTCATTTTACGCCAACAGCCTCCCAGAGAGAACAGAACATCCAAACACAACCGAAGGCCCGCCTCCTTCAGCCGCGCGGCCCATGAAGCGCTTCTCATGTGCAGACACCAAGCAGCCGAGCAAGGTGCTCCAGCGCTGGGCACGGCCGCCCTTGCCAGAGCCAGCACCACGGGCAGCAACGCCCTGGGTGCCCCCGGAGGCAGGCAGGGAGGCGGGCACCGCAGGAGGCCCCGTCTCCTGGACCCCGGCCCCTGCCACCACCGCCCTGCCCGGTCGCGCAGGCACAGGGAGGCCCGAGGCAGCAGCCACATGGGGCAGACCGCTCGGCCAGTTTCACCCAGGGAGAGACGACGAGGGGGCAGCGAGCTCCCCACCCGGACATGCGCTTGGAACGGGACTCCCGGGCCACCAAAGGCCTGACAACGCTGCAGGAGGCACCTGGGCTCAGTGCCCGTGGACAAGCCTCCTGCGCGAGCCGACTTCTCCCATGCAGAGCCCCAGCCCCGATCCAGCTGCCCCAACACGGCCTCAGCCCGCCTGGCACCACCTGGGGCCACCGCAGGAGGCGCTCGGGGGCACCCCGGTGGGACGAGGCGAGCAGGCGGCGAGCAGAGGCTGCACCTGGAAAGCACCTGGGAAGACGGGCCCGCAGCACCCAGAGCAGCCACAAGAGCAGGGAGGCATCATGAAGGACAGGGACCCACTGCCAGGGCACAGGCGTGCCAGCCAGCGGGACCAAGGTCTCCAGCCGTCGCGGGCCAGCCGCCCACTGACGTCAGCCAGCAGTCACCGGCTCTCCCCTCTGAGACTGAGCAGCCACCTCTGCCAGGAAATGTGTCAAGTGGTAGGAAAACCATAAAAATAAACCAATGTACTTGTGGCACACCCTACTTTCCATTTTTTTAAAAAAATAAGTAAAAATGGAGGCTATCTCTCATTTCCCAGATACAATAAGCACAACTATTGAAAAGGACAATCAAAGAGAATTATCTCAAAATGACTAGTTTTGCAGAAAACCGATTTTCTCCTTGTGTTCTGCAATCTGTAAGTACTTTTCCTTTAATAGCGCTGGAGTTTTTTTTTTACCATGTTCACTGCAAAGACAGGAGATGCCAAAGTTTAAAAGTGCATTTACTAAAGCAATCGAGACATAAAACAAATATTTCAGACAAGAAAAAATTCAATTTCAAAGAAACACGATTTATAATAACAAAATATATGGTAACTAAGAAAACACCTAATACACGAGACCTTTTACAGAGTACACTTTAAACTGCACTGAAAGGCATTGCAAGTGGTTCTAAAATGGAGAAACAGTGGGTTCATGAAGATGAAAACTAAACTTCGTAAAGATGTTGTAAACTCCGTAAAGAGCCGACCACACCCTCGCCGCAGGGGGTCAGGGGCTGTGAACACCCACCGAGCACCGAGCACCGCAGGCCCGCTGCCGAGCGGAAGGCACTAGCAGGGCGTGGCCTGGGGACGAGCCTCGAACCCAGGGACCAGGCCCAGGGGACAAGCCCAGCTCTGCGCCAGGGCGAGCTGCACAGCATGGGAGACGGGCGGTCCCTCCGTGACACTCCCTCCATGACGCTCCGTCTGGGACACAGGGCCGAGGGTCCCAAGGCGGGAGCTGAGCCATATGCACCCCCCACCCCCGTCAATTAGAGACGAATTAGTAAACACGTGGGTGTGAAAGGCAAAAGGTTCGAGCCTTCGGGTGGACACAGGAGAGGGCGGCTTCACAACATGCCTGTGCGGGAAGAGATGCGCAGCGAAGCCGCCACAGCCCGCCAGAGCCGAAACGCCGCCGAAACGGAATTTCCGACCCCTGACGGCCACCAAGGAGAGGGCAGGAAGGGCCGCAGGGCAGGAGAGGCTGCCTGCAACGCACAGCTGATAAAAACGCGGAATCCCTAACACAGGAAGATCGACCACCAACAACAAAGGCAAAGACAGGCCCGAGCACTTCCTGGAAGAGGCCGCACTGGAGTCCGGGGGGCCTGAGGAGGCGCGCGCCTGCGTCAGCCGCCGGGAAAGCGAAAGCCGGCACAGGGAGGGCCCCGCCGGAGACGCGCTGCGGGGCCACGCGGGCGACGCCGGGAACTGGCGCGGACGCCACGCACCAGGACTCTGACCCTCCACGGCTGAATCCACACTCCGTCGGGAAAGCACAGCACCCCCAACCATGGGACAGTTTCACCTCTCAACGCCCCGGAGGAAGTCTGGTCTGTGGGCACCTGCATAAATGTCCACAAAGGTTCCGGGGGCCCAGTCCCTAGAGCAAAGCGTCGGACACAACCCGGACGTCCGCCAGCGGGAGAAAGGCCACAGGAGGAGTGGGGCCTTGGGGCGGGGGCTCTGATGCAGCTGGGCAAACTGGCTGAGCCTCCGAAAACAGCGCAGAGAAAGAAAAACAAGCTGCAGGGCCCCGGCCACACGGGGTGGGGGGGACGCAGCGCCAGGTCCCTGTTCTCTCGGCATCATGTGCACCACACGCATCACATGACATGCAGCGGGGCCCGCAGAGTGAGGAAGAATCACAAACATGAGTCAGGAGGGGATAGGGACACCCAGACAGGGGTGAGGACACGGAGTGGCCGCATACACAGTCAGGTTCGGGCCCGGCTCTTGGGCCCGAGCAGGCCGGCGGGTCCGCGAGGGCCTCCGTGCGTGCTGTGCAGGCGCCGGTCCTGCACAGCCAGGCGAGCGGACGCTCCACGAATGGCCCTGTCGGGGGCGAGGCGCCTCCACCACACCTGCCATCAGACCAGGACGGGGGACACGGGCCCCGGCCACCCAGGCCCCTCCCGACGCCAGTCTTACCTCCGTCACTTTGGGTTGAAGTACCAGCGCTTCGGGAGTCATCCGCGGGATGTCTATGTGGATCTGCAGGTGGAGGAGAAACAGACAGTAGGTGACGAACATCACTCCACTCCACTTAAAATGGTGACCCTCGAGGACGGCGCGCGCTGACGCTGGCTCTGGCCCCGCTCCCTGAGACACGCCCTGGCCCTGCGCCGCAGGGGCTCGCCGGCCAGCCCGCCAGGCCTGCTGGACGCTCCCAGCCGCACGGCAGCAGCTGCGTGACCAGGAGCAGGGCCAGCCCGCAGCCGCTCGGGGACATAACCCTCAGCAATCAGTAAGCACCGACTTCCGGCCTCTGACACGGGAGCAGCTCCAGTGCGTTGGCCACACGTGGGTTTGCAGCTGTGACAGCTTCTTCATGGAGCCCAAGCCCCGTCTTTCTCCCCTCGCCAAGCCCTTGGGGAGTCGGGGGCACTTTCCACAGGGAGGAGCAGGGCTCACCTCCTCCAGTCCCTGAGCAGCGTGGGCCGAGGAGGAGAAGGTGGGGGGCCTGCCAGGCTCGGGGGAGGGGTCAGAGGGCACAGGCAGAAGCCCAGGCCCGGGCAGGGACGAGAACCCTCGGCACCTCGTCCCTCCACCAGGGCGCCCCGAGGGCCACGCTCAGAGCGCTGCTCCACGCAGCCCCACCCACACGGACGAACGTCCGTCCTCCGCACGCCCCGCCCAGCCCACAGAAGGGTCAGCAAGGCAGGTGCACTGAGCGCACAGGGCAGCGGCACCGCCAACAACCACAGGCGCCGTCCCCCAAGCCACCAGGAGGAAGCCCAGCGAGTGTCCAGCAGCACGTGCGCCCCTCCAGACCCCGTCCCCCACCCCCACGTACAGGGCCGGGCGAGGGGAGGCCACGGCGCCCGCAGAGCTCCGCGGGCGGGATGGCACACCCGAGAACTCTGTCCCTCTGATCGACTCCGGGTGCTCGGGGCAGAACGTCTTCAGCACAGAGCAAACATGGAAACCAAGGGGGGACACAGTCCCCCAGGGCGGGAGAGGAGCGGCTGCCCATGTCGGGGCCGGCGCGGCTGGGTGAGGGAGCCCATGGTTAGAGAGCACCGTGCGTGGGCAGCAGAGAGAGACTGCGGTGCGCCAGGCCCAGGCGCGCAGCTCTGCGGCGACTACCGGGGCGTCCGGGAGGGACGGGCGGTCGGCACGGCGGCCCTGCGAGGGGCAGGCTCACCGCGCACAGGCGAGCAGGCCGACAGGACACAGCAGCCCCCACCGCGTCTCCGTTACACGAGTGCAGGAGCCCGTGGGAACCGCAGCGGCGCGGAGCTTTTTGTTGCCCATCTCAGCAGCTGAATAAAGATGTAACGCCCGCTTTTAATTAAGCTTCCCTTACGGGATTCGTAACAGGAAACAGCTTGGCGGGTCTTCCAGATAGATGCCAGCATCACCCCTGGAAGTCTTTTTAAGCAAAAATACATCAAAAACACTTTCAAACACCACCAGCTCCGACCCCGTCCACCAGCAGTGAGGCGGAAGGATGAGGCGAGTGAGCAAACGTTTCCCTAACAAACCCCAGCGCAGCCGGCCTCATGTCAGTTCCCCAGAGCGACCGGGTGGCAGTGCCCCACCTGCGGGGCGTCCGAGGGCGACCGGGGACAGGCTCCGGGCAGCAGCGGGCCTGAGGCGGGGGGCCTGGCCGGCGGGGATGCGGCTCCTGCCACCCCGGCCCTCCTCCGCCCCCGCTCCGGCCGCGCCCCGTGCCGCGGGTGCTCCCCAGGAACCGCTCACGTCACAGCAACGGGGGTCGCCCGGCGGAGGGCAGCCGGTCCCTGGACCTTCTCATATACCCAGGCCAACCAGACGGGGAGCGAGCAGGGTGCCCGTGGGTGGGGGACTCAGCGACGCTCCTTCACTAGAGGCAGGGCTTCCGAAAGGAAACATTCGGCCCGGACACGTGTCCGGGAAAGCGGAAGCTCGTCTCAGTGACATGCGACTGCACGGCCGCCGACGCAGGGCCGCGTGCCTGTCTGCCGGCAGCGCAGGCCGTTTGGGGTCCTCCATCTCGCGCAGCCCGCGGGGACGGGGCATCCCGCAGGCTGCTCCAACAGCACGTCCTGGACCCGCCAGGAGTCACAGGCCAACCACGTGTTTCCAAGTTCACGTCTCTGTAAGAAAGTACAGCCCTGTGGCCCGCCGGGGGCCCGTGCGACGGAGAGGCGCCCACCTGCCTGTACGTGTCCCGGTGCACGTCGCCGTTCCGGGCGTCGTAGTAGTGCTCCACGAAGGCGAAGTACTCCTTCTGCTTCCTTCGGAGCGTGGCCGGCCTCCGCTCGGCGTTGGCAGGAAGGTAGCCCTGGGGAGGAAAAACACAACAGTACAGCACGTGGTCGACGCTGACGCGCGGCTCTCCCTGAGGAGAGCGAAGAAGAGACGCGGGCTCACCCCCAAAACGAAGGGGGAGGGCAGGTCCATGGTGGAAAACGAGGCACAGACCCAGGCAGGCGCAGCGGCCCCGGGTGGCCCGCACCCCCCACCCGCCTGCACCCGCCTGCACCCCGCTCCACCCGGCTCCGCCCGGCTCGGGGGCCGCGCCCCTCACTGTGGAGGCCTCCCACCTGAGGAACGCAGAGGTCTGTGCAGCGGGCCGGGCACACAACCCACGCCCTTTCTGTCCTCCGCCGGAGAAGTCACTCACCCGGCAGCTCAGAACGGGAGCGGCCGTCACCGCGGCACATCAGTCCCACGCACGAGGCCCGGCCCGCTGTGAGCGGCCGTCGCGGCTGCCCGCAGCTCTGCTATAAACTGTCCGTGCCTGCCTGGCGGCGCCGGGCACACGCCTCATCGAGTCCACACCCGGGAACGGTGTGCAAGAGCAACGGCGCTCCCGTGGCAGGGCCTGAGGGCACCCGGCGCCCCACATCCTCGCCGACGCCGGGCCTTGCGCAGCTCTCTGTCTCAGCCACCCCACGGCATCCACAGCAGCACCTCTCAGAACGCGGTTTCACCCACGCGTCCAAGGACACGAGTGGGTGCCGCCACGCGCTCTCGCCTGCGAGGCGTGTGCAAGTGCCCGCCCTCTCTCTCCGCGCCGCCCGGCCTGCACGGGGGCTCTGCTGTAAGCGCTGTCCTCCCTGTGGCTTCCCTCGCTCCCCGTGACGACTGTCTTAGGGGAAGCCCCTGGCTTGACTGCAGCCCAGGTCACTACCCCTTATGCCGAGTCCCTCCCACGTGTCCTCTAAGAAAGCTTCCTTCCCCCAGCGCGTCCTACTCCGGGACCCTGACCGCGCACCTGCACTCGCCAGCGCGGGCTCCATGGGCCGGGCACACGCGCCACCACCCATGCCGGCGGCGAAGCCTCGCTGGGGCACGGCTGCCCGTCCGCGCCTTGCGCAGCAGGGGCGGAACTGAGGGGCCGTGAGGCAGGCCGTGGGCAGCAAAGCGGTGCAAACCTTCTGCCAGCCAGCACTGTGAAGACAGGCCTGCCGCCCCGGCTCCTGCACGTGGACCACCCCCCACGAGCTATGTCTGTGTCACAGCGCCCCCCGCCCCGGACCAAGCACAGGCCACCTTGGCTGTGCAGGACACTGGCACGCGTGGCACGACAGGACGCCGGGCGGCCCCCGCGGCGCCGCCCCCACGGGTGGCACGGGGGCACCCCGGGTGTGCAGGCCGCTGCGGCCTTACTGCCCAGGAGCCTGCCGGCGCCTGTGTGAGTTCCAGCCTGCGGCCTGCTCGCAGGTGCTGGCGCCCTCCGCCCCGCCGGGGACACCTGCGCTGACACGCTCGGGAAGCCGCAGCCGCTGGCAAGGGGCCCGTCTGCCATCACCACGGCCCAGCTGACCAGCCCACACGCCCGCCAGCCAGGGCCCCACCCCTGAGAAAGGGGCGCTGCTGCCCCCGCCCTCGGTCCCGGCCAGGTGAGGGAAGGCCAGGGTCCCACCGAGCGGAGCCCGCCGTGGCCGGGCCTGTGCCATGGCCCGCCCCGCTGCTCACAGGGCCCTCTCCCGGGCCCCCAGCCCTGCCCTGTGCCGCACGGGGCGCCACGGCACAGCGCGGTCTGGCTGGGCCCGAGAGAGACGTGCCTCCACCAGGTCCGAGGTGGCCTGAGAGACGACGTGCCATCACGTCCCACGGGCTCTCGGAGAATAAAAGTCACCCAGGTTCACTCCTTTCCCTGTGTCCTCAATGGCCACAGGCATAAGCTAAGCAAAGAGAAGGGGCAGCTCCGCTGCCTCGGACCCCGCGAGGCCGCCCTGAGCTCTGTGCACGGAAGAGGAACCCGGCTCGGGAGCCCAGCAGGGCACCAGGAGTCACGGGCCCTGCGGGCAGCTGCCCTGTGCAGGAGCACGGGGCCCAGGTCCCGGCCCCCCAGGAGCCCGCCCCATGGGGGTCACACAGGCACAGGCACACGCACACGCACAACCGCACGTTCACTGACGTCTCCCGGACCCTGGACCGGCCGGGATGCGGAGACGCGGAGGACAGGCATCCACTGGTGGACGCGGGCTCCACCGCCCCCTGTCCCAGACACAGCCAGGCCTTGCGGACGTGTGAGGTTGGGGGGGCCGGGCGCCACCCCAGGAACGCCGCTGCGGCTCCTGCCCGGGCCCCGCCCCGTGTGGCCGCCCTCTGCTTCCCCCGAAGCCACGACTCCGTCTGCAGACACCCCCCGCCAGGCCGGCTGCGGTCAACCTCTTTCATCTCTCCTGGGGGCGCACGCAAACTAAGCGCTCAAATTCTGGGGCCCACCAAAAAAAACCACATTTTTTGCTGATCTGGCAAAAACAGGTATCATGTAAATCCACTCACACAAGGGGGCCGTTGTGTTGGTTGCTGTCCTTTTTTTATTCAGCCATTTACGGGAAAAGAGGCCAGTGCTCCGACGCGACAGTCAGGTGGTGCCCGTTTTAAAAATCTCGGGGCCAACGGGGGCCGCCCGCTGCGCAGAGGCGGGCCGGCCAGAGCCGGCTGTTCTAAGTGAGGTTTCACGGGAACACGCTGTGACTGCCGTCACACGGGACATTTCTCACGCTGCCAGGGCAGGGCTGACCGGCTGTGAGAGACGGCAGGGCCACAGAGCCTGGCCTGCTCCTGCCGACCCCGCGGACGGACGGACCCCCTGTCATCCCTGCGGCCCGAGGGGCTGAGGCAGCCTTTCCACACACACGCTCCCTCCTCAGGGGCCCTGCCCTGCGAGCCAGGACCCAGGCGACACCGCGTCCCCTGGCGCACGGTGAGAGCCCCGCAGGGCCAAACACCCTCTCCTCAAAGACCGACCGAGGCTGGAAGGCGCTGCCCCCAACACACACCCGGGGTCCACCGCCTGCCCCTCCCACGTCCCTGCTCCAATGTCCCCGCCCCCCGCTGTCTGAGGCCTGCAACCGGACTCCCTGGCGGTGGCCGCAGGGTCCCCCCTCCCGGCCCAGCTCTCTCTGTGGCACTCGGGCATCCCAGGGGCAGGGGGAGGGGCGCTCGCGCAGATGGGGCAGGCACCCCCAGCCCCCGGGTCCCCGACACCCGGCTCAGAGCGCTGTTGCCGGGGAGGGCACAGCCCTGGGCCCAGCAGGAAGAGGCCTGGGCGAGTCCGGCAGGCAGAGGTTGGCGTCGGCACACGGTTCTGGGGTGGGTTTGCGTCAAAGGTGGAGAAGGCACGTGGAGGCAGGGAGAGACCGAGCCAGCACCCTGGGAAGGGTGACAGAACTCACGGAGCAGGCAGCGCACCCGGCCCACGCGCACCGGGCTCGACCTCCCAGGTGAGCGGCAGGCAGGCGTGCGGCGCGGCCTGAGCCCGGGAAGGGTGGGGCCGCCCCACACCAGCCATGGGCCGCGACAGCCAGGGCTCTGAGGGAGCAGGACGAGCCACAGAAGTCCCCCTGCTCCCCACGTGCGGACCAGCTCACAGGCGGAAACCCCCGCAGGCAGCTCGGCCGCAGGGAGCATGGGCGACAGAGACCCCCGCGCACCCGCCCGGCGCTCCCTTTCCGGCAGGGACACACAGGCGGGAGAGCTGAGGCCTTCAGATAATTAAGCAGGACTAGAAATTATGCAAACGAGACACATCCAAGGATGCGGCGAATTCTAAATGACAGAACTACAGGAGATGTGACTGCCGTGTTAGCGTGCTATACAAACACTGATCACAAATGCCGAACCACGGATGCGCAGGCGCGGCGCGACACCGTCCCCGGGACACAAGCCCCTGCCCTCCTACCGCGTCCTGTGCAAACGAGCTCAGGAAACGGCGGACCACGCGCCACATGTCACCTCTCATGTTAGTCACCCACGCACAGCACCAACATCCGGCATGCGACGCACGTCCGCTTAGTTTCCCACAGGGCGAACTTTGGCAAAGCCACCACCATGCCTGCTGGACTTTGGCGTCCAGTGGCGTTGGGGCTGGCGCCAGGGTGCAGGGCCCGGTCCCGACGGGGCGCAGGGCTGCGCTTGCTGGCGAGAGCCAGGCCCCTCGCCTGCCCTCGGGGGACAGTGCTCTCCCGGCCACCGGGCGTGCTCGCGACGTCCGTGAGCGTGCCCAGGGCCACCCCTCAGCCCCGGGGCCCTGAAACAGGCTCGCGTTCCAGTGCGGCTTTGCTCGTGCCCTTTAAATGGGCGGAAAGTACCTTCTCCTTGGCCCTGGGTTCAGCGCTGAGGTCCTGGGTCCTGGGAGCAGAGGGGGCTGGGGCGGGCACCCCACCACCCACCACTGAGCCCCTGGGGACGCCACACCCTCTTGGTCAGTCTCGCCCCCAGGCCTGAGCCCCCGCTGGCTGCCGCGTGCCCTGTGCCACATGGAGCCTGGGTCCCCAGCCCTTCCCAAGCTCCCCAGGGGACAGGAACGTGCACCCGGGTCCAGAGAGCAGCCTGATACTGCTGCACGCCTGCTGCTCCTGTCCCCACCCGACCCAGCGGGGCCGTGTCACGGCACGGTGCCGCCCTGCACACTCCGATGCCCAGCCCACCCCGAGGCGCCAGTCTGCCGGCGCGGCCCGCACAGAGGAAACCTGGATTCCAGGAGCGCCTGGCGGGGAGGGCCCTCCTCGGGGGAAGCGCTCGCCGCGCCCTCCCCAGCGCCCTCCAGGGCAGCCTGTGACGCAGCACCCATGCGGGGCCTGGCTGAGGGCCACGCCCAGACACACCTGCAGGGTCAGGGACCGTGCCAGCCCCCGCCACCAGGCCCCAAGCCTGTGGTGACAGACCCCGCTCTGCTGACTGTGCCTGGGGCGGCCAGGGCCCAGGAGAGAGGCTCCAGGACGGGAGAGCACACCCCCCTCCCCCACTTGGACCTCCTTCTGCCTGTCCACGCCCTGTGCCACCGGCGGCCCTCACCTGGCGGGCCCCTCCCCGTGGCCTTTGCCTCGGGGCAAAGTGAACGCACGTGGCCTGTTCTCCCCGAGCACACGGGCCCAGAGGGCAGGCGCTGAGCGCGGCCCCCAGAACCCCTGGCTTCCTGGTCCAGCCGCCAACCCCTCTGCCGGCCCCGGTGTGCTCTGTCCAGGCCCCAGCACCCTCCCGGGGGGCGGGGCGCAGCCGGCTCACGTGCCCAGCACCATGGGGCGTGAAGGGCCCTGCCCCCCGGTCTGTGCCCGCACACCCTGCAGCCCGGACCGCCGCCCCGACGCGGCAGGCGCCCACGAAGGGCTCACACACCAGGGAGACACGCAGGGAGCGAGCGAGGGGCGCAGCGCGCCAGGGGCTCTGACGCCTGAGGGGCCGCGGGCCCAGGGGACACAGGGCACCTCTCCTTCCCAGGGGCCCCTGAGGTGCGGGGACTCGGCCGCGGTCCGGTCACCACCACCTCCCAGCACCCGCCGTCGCCAGAGACAGAGAAGGCTCCCGGCCCAGAGGGCCCGTGAACGGAGGGGCCACGGAGGGGCCGCCCGGCCGCCCGCCGCGCCCCTCCCCACCCGGCCGCGCCCCACCCTCTCCAGCCCAGGGGCGGCCTCATCGCTTCCACGGGTGTGCAGGGCGGGGCGGGGGGTGCGGGGGGGCCGCTGCTGAAGCCCTGGCCCAGCTCGGGAAGGTGACCCGGAGCCCCGGCCGCGGCCCTGGCCCCCAGACCCCACCCCTCCGGTGGCCACCGCCCAGGGCTCCTGCTCGCCCAACCCCACCGCCCCGCGTCCCTCCACTGGGAACAGTCACCCTTCGAGACGCCACACAAGCAGCCCACCTTCCCCAAGAGACCTGACCTGAGCTAAGGAGCGTACACGGCCCACAACCACGCCACCCATCCTGGTGCCCCCATCCCTGCACCCCTCCCTGCCTCCCTGTGCCCGCCCCCCCAGAAGGACAAGCTGCACTTGCGGACAGGACACTTGCTTTTACTCACCTGTCAGCCCAGCCAGAACTGTCACTTCTCGCCCCCCTGCCCAGCGCCCACTGCCGCGCCCCGCCTTCCCGCACAGCTGCGCCCCTCACCCGCAGTCCCTGCCCGCCCCCTGTACCTCCCACAGGGACGGGGCCACCTGTCTCCAGGCCACAGGCCCCTGGATTCAGTGAGGGGACACAGGGTCCTGAGGCCACCGGACCATCTGTCCCCTGCACTCCCAGGACACCTGGCGACAGGCTCTGCCCACCGCCGCCCTCCCTCCCACCGAGCCAGCACGGTGGCGCCTCGGGCACCTCCGTCCCACGCATCTGTCCCCAAGTCAGTCCCCAGGCAGGACGGGAGGGACTGAGCCTCGATCCACGAGACCTGCCCACAGAGATGGCACGCCCTCAACAAGCAGGACCGCAGCGCGGGCCCCGCCAACGCTGGCACCGAGCTCCCCACGGCGCGTCACCGGCCTTAGAGGGCGCTGGGAACACGGGGTAGAAGCACTTTAAAAACCAACTGAAATACAAGCAATTGCAGGTCTAATTTTAATAGCACGAGAGTATTTAATCAATAAATATTCACTGCACAAAGCTGCATCTGTGTTGAGGATTACGAGGTACTAAGCTGCGAATTTATTAAGACTCATTAGTGAAAAAGAGTCTTTTAAATACTGAAGTCAGACCCAATTTAGAGCAAACAGACTCCCCGATTGACTGGCTCCAAAATAACACAAAAGGAAGAGGGGAGAGCCGCCTGTCCGCCGTCGGGTCCCGGCCGGACCCTGTCGAGCCAGCGGGTAGCCCGGCCGCGCCCGAGTCTGGCGCCGCCCGCCGCCGGCCCTGTCCGGGGCCCAAGAGGCGGCCGGGCGAGGACCGAGGGGGCCGGGCTCTCCCCGTCGCAGGAACGAGCAGCCCCTGACCTCGCCCTGTCGCCCTCACGCCAACACTGCCGTGGAGAAGCCGGGTCAGAGAGCTGTCCCTGTCACCAACGCCTCAGGGTGGACACAGTCTCCTACGCTGGAACTTTCTATGCCCCAGGTATGGCAATCTCATGAAGGTTTTTAAACAATACAATCGGAGAAAGGGAATGCAGCTGCCGTAAGCAACTGCTTGTCGTTGGCGGCCAGCCTGTCAAACCAAGCCAGAAGGGGAGCGGAGGCTGGACGCCACCTCAGCCGCACGAAGGCCTGCGTCGCAGCAGCAAGACCGGGCGCCGCCACGCTCTGGCCAGGCGAGGGGCGGGGGCGGGGCCCCCCAGGAGGACGGTGGCAATGAGCAGGCCCAGGTCGCTGAGACACTTACTGAGAGGAGCTTCCACGTAATCGGACGAACCGGCTTAGGGATCCCAGACCAGCTCAGCTTCCGCAGCTCCTCTGTTGGAAAGAGACAAGGAGAACAGCTTTACAAACAGCGAGTACCCCCCCGCATGCTGACACCGTCCCCCCGCCCTGGTTCCGGGGCACAGAGCCCCACAGAGGAACCCAGGAGAGCCTAGCTGGTGAAAATCCCGGATGCCGATGTTCTCCGTATCGAGACGAGTTACCACGCTGCCCCAACCGCGCTGCATGTCGCCTGCCCACCTGCGCCCCTCAGACGGGACATGTCTGTAAATGCGCCCCGAGTGTCCCCAGCACCACCCTGGGGCCGGTGAGCACGGCAGGGGCCCGGCCGCCTCCTGTGCTTCTCTCCCCCGCAAATGCCTCCTCCCCAGCTCCACACCTGAGCGAGGCTTTCCCCTCTCGTCCCGCCCCCCTCCCTCCCGTCGGCTGTAAGAGTATCTGAAGGGCTGGCCCTCCGGCCGTGTCCTGGAGGCGGGCCTGTGCGTGTGCCGCGCTGACTGCGGGTGGGGCCACACTGCACCCCCCAGGACAGCGAAGTCCTCGGGCGGCCGAACCACACGGGTCGCTGCCCCTGCACGAGCACCCACAGGTGGGATGGTCACAGGGGGCGGGGCTGGCCAAGGACAGAGGGGGCAGGGGCACAGCAGGGGACAGAAGGGCAAGGGTGAGGGCCCCGGATGCCGTCTGACCTTCCGTGTCTCCTTGGGGGGTCCTACTCACATGCCCTGAATGGCTAGAAAACACAGTTCGATTCGTAGGGATGTCAACACTCAGTTGATCCTACTGAAACTGAAGTCATTATTTCTCTCCTTAAGTTACGGACCTAGTGAACAATTAGGTTCTTCTAACAGCTCAGAGCCGATGATTAATACCAGGAATAAAAGAAATGATTAAAGAGGCAACTTTTGTAATATAATCAACAAAAAAACAAAGTCCTGACATCTAATCTTTTTCCAATTACTGAAGTCTAAGCAAAATGAGCAGAGATCACATGGGCAGAAGTCCCAGCCATAACCTGCCTTTTGCAGCAGCCTCAGGGGACAGAAGTCTGCCCCAGCTCCCCGGAGGCAGCACGGGAGCCGACCGGACCCCCGAACGCCACCGCCGGGCACTCACCCTCCGGCTCCCAGGCCTGCCCCGCAGCTGGGGCCCGGCCTCCTGCCGCGGCTCCTGGGAGCAGCCGGGAGCAGCCGCATGCGCCGTGCTCCCTGGACCTGCCACCTCCAGGGAGACGCCCCCGGCGGCTCCAGACGGTGCAGGGAGAGGCGAGGTCTGGCTCCCCGCCTTCCCGTCGGAGGGCGGCTTCCCCACATGCCCTCTCCGGTCCCCCGGACAGCTGTGGTGGTCCAGGCCAAGACCCACTGTGCACATGAGGCCGCGGCTCGAAGAGGTTAGGGGACTGGGTCGGGTGGCACAGGAACTAAGGGACCTCCTACGCCAGGGTCTTTCCACTCTATGAACTGCCTGTATCCAAAGAGCTTTGTGACACTGACCGCTCTCACTCATGGATATGGGCAGCGGGCCCATCGCGGAATCCCCGCGGCCAGAGCAGAGCCAGGTGTTGCAGCAGCCCCGCGGGGGTGCCCCGGGCGAGAGCCGTGCCTCCCGGCCAGCAGCCCCGGCCGCTCTGCGGAGGTGCTGAACCCGGCTGAAGGGCAATGCCCCGGGGCCAGGCTGACAGAGGCCAGCTGCAGATGCCACCCCAGGCCTACGCGCCCCTCCCACCTTTCCACCAGAACCCCCCCCAGCCCCAGGACGGGGCGGCGGGGAGTCCCCCAGGGAAAACTGACCGCACCCACCCCACTCTGAGGGTGGGCCGGATTGGCTGGTGTGGTGCTAAGTCCCGCCCTCAGCAGTGACTAAGGAGACAGCTGACCCACTGAGCCACTGAGAAGAGGGCACATCAGCTGGGGCTCCCAGAGAGCCCTCCTTGCTCTTGGGAAGTCCTGCAGAGGCAGCCCTCTCTTGCTTGCTGAGAAAGGCGCTCAGGTCAGAGGCGAGGCCGGGGACTGCTACAGCCACCAGGCACCAGGCACGGGGCCAGCCCAGCGCTGAGCCAGGGACAGAGGCAGGCAGAGCTAGCAGGCAGCAGGGCCCGGGGTCCTGAGCTCAGCAAGGCGCCAGATACAAGCACCCTCAAAACCCACCAAGGAAGTGAACGAAAAGCGTTACTGGCACCAGCTGAACAAAAAACGGGCGGCAGCCTGTAAACAGATCCAGACGGGTTTGCTGGGACCCACAGGAACAGGGACGGGCCGGCCCAGGGAGGCGAGCAGTGAGCAGGGCTTGGGCAGCGCCTTCGCCCGCCAGCACCGGGCTGGCGGGGGGGAGGGTCAAAGGGGTGCACGGCTCTGAGCTCCGAGACCTTGCCTCCGCCCCGAACACGGCCACGTGACATTCACCCACCAGTGGCATGCGCAGGGGACCAGGAAGGCGTGCAGCGAGGCTGGCCAAGGGGAGCGCCCCGTCAGGAAGGTCTCCGTGGGGAGCGGCAGCCAGGGCCAGCCCTCCAGCCAGGGAGGCTCCTGGAGCCACAGTGCCGGGGAGCAGAGGCGCCCCCTGCAGAGGGGGCGGCGGCCGGGACGGTGACAGGGAGGGAAGAGCTCCGCCCAGAGGGGCATGCAGGATACAAAAGCAGCGACAGGTTCCCAGACCTAAGGCGCAAAATTACAAAGCTGTGCGCTGTAGCGTTAAAAAAACACCCTTCTAGTCAATGCAAAGCCAACCAAAATTCCGATGGGATTCACTGACTGTGTCTGAACTTTGGTAAAGTGACCCCAGTTCACTGGAAAGACCAGATGCACCAGAACAGCCAATAAAAATTATCAAAAAGGATAACGGAAAGGGACTTGGCCTAACAGGTAAGACAACGTGTGACAGCTGCAGCAATGAAGGCAGCGGGGTCCCAAGAGCGAGGCCACGGAGAAAGGGTCGAATGCGGAGCGAAAGGCTCCGCTCAGACCTGCACTCAGGTACCGTGGAAGCAGTGTTTCGAATCGAGGGGCCTGTCAACCAGCGACATCCAGACAATTTGACTATGATTGGAAATTCAGAGAGCACAGTGGTCTGTGTGGACACAAAGGGAAAATAAAAAGGCTACAAGAAAACAGAGGAGAGCGTTTTGATATTTGGAGAAGGAGAAAAGGGCTTCTCTGCGAGGCACAAATCCGGAAACTAAAATCAGAAGATTTGCAAATTGAAGTTTGAAATAAACATACTGTCCAAGGCACTGCAATATTAAAGAAGCAGGTGACAGACGCGACAAATACCTGCAACAGATACTATAAAAGGTTAGTATTACTAACACATAAAGAGCACATACAAAACTAAAAGAGTTCAGTGTATAGGAAATAAAAAACTCACAGAAGAGGAAACAGAAATGGCTACTAAACATACAAAAACAGACACATCACCTCAATGGTGATCCAAGAACCACAAAAGAAAACAAGCACCCTGTCAGGATCCGGCGGGTTCAGAAAGAACAGCGCCGCACGAGTGTCCAATGCCCTCCCCTCCCAGCTCGGGAAGAAGAGCTGCGAGGGAGCCCTGACCGCCGCTCCGACGCCATCACTCTCTTCTCAGAGACAGCGAAAGGCGCACACGCCCCTCCGAGCCGTCTAGGTCCACGCACGGATTCTGACAGGTGGTGTCGCCACTCGGCTCAAGTACTTCCAGATGTCCCTTCTGATTTCTTTGATCTGCGAGTTACTTAGAAGTACGTTGGCAGGTTTCCCAATACTCGAGGATTTCCGGGGCCCCTCACTGCCAGGCTGATCTCTAACGTGCAGCACTCGGTCACCTCAATCCTTCGGTATTTACCGCGCCTTATTCCGGCAGCACACAGGCTCTGCAGGGGGAGCGGGGGAGCACACACTCTCCCGCCGACGGGCATGGTCGTCTGTCCGTCGATTAGACGCAGCGGTTGACGGTGCTGTTCCGACCTTCCCCCTCCTCACCACTGTACATGTGCCCTTTGCACCAATTTCCCGGGGCCGGGCCGGAGCTCCCGCGCCCATGGCACGTTCTCTGCTCCCCAGCGCTCGCTCCCGGCCTTGTGAGCTGGTTTCCTGGCGCATTTAGAGGAGATGGTATCTCCTTAATGAGTGGAACCTTTTATCACAACAGCATCCCACTGTCTCTAATAAAACTCTTTGTCTGGATGTTTACTTTTTCTGGCATTCTTCTAAGCCAGGAGCCTTCTCTCTGCCCCCGCCCTTTCACTCCCACGGCCTGAGTGTCCGCGTGAAGCCTGTGTCCGTCTGGCGGCCCTGTCAGCTTCCTGCCCTGTTTCTCTTGGAGTCAGACTGCAAAACCACTGGTCCTCGAAAAGGGAAAGCTAAATGGTAAGAAGAATTTTAACAAGCTTAAAATAAATGAGAAATAAGCAGCCTTTCTTTCTCTTCAACAGTGGATTTGCTTTCTGAAAAGTAGAATCTCGAAATACTCTCATGAAAACAACGCCAACGCCAGCTCCATGCACATCTGTACTGAGAAGGCTGCGCCTCTCGCTAAAACTCCCACTCGGGAAGTCGCCACGGCAGACGCTCGTGACCTATGGAAGCAGGCGGCACAGAAGCGGGCGGCACACGCGGGACACGGGCCGGGGACCCGCCCGGCCGACCCGCACGGCCTTGGACAGTGCCCTGCTCGCCCCTGCACGGTGTCCCCCTCCGAAGGCAAAGGGACAAAAGTGCCTGCCGCGCTCCGTCACAGAACCTCCCCAGGGGACAAGGAGGTGACACATGCACACGTGTGCCCGCTGTGACACCGCAGGGACACGGCGACCAGAGTCTGTGGTGCTGACGGGGGTGATCGCTGAGCACACTCTGCGAGCCCAAACCAGAACGCAACTGGGAATCACCTGCCCAAATGGGGGTGAACCATCACAGTGACACTGAACCAGAAGTCTGTCACAAAACAGTGTATGCAAAGGGCTCACAACTGTAAGCCCTTTTTTTGCCTAAAAAGCCAGGAATAACAGAAAAACCTACCCATAATTTGAGCTGTTTTTCCTATACTCCATCTCTTTTTAA